TTCTTGCATCAAAATGTACCTTCTGCCTAAATTGTGGAATTACTAAAATTGTTAATGGTTAATTCCTTAAAGTTGAGGAATTGGAAATAATTCTCCCGCAATACTAGGCACGGGCATGGGCATTATTAGTGCTAGTATATATTTGTTTATTACATAACTAAAAAATTTTTTGGTCGTGCCCGAAGCTATGTCCGGCATTTTATGCCCATACTCTTAATAGTGCCTGGCACTTTGTGGCTTGCTTTGGCATTATATATTTTATTTCATATATTCAGATTGATTAATGTCTATTACAGTGCTTGTTGGTATCGTGGTTCTGGTCAGCAATATAATTTAATATGGGAATGGGCTACTTTTTACGGTTGGATAGATGCATCTATATTATATTGTGCGATAGTTATTATTATGGTCATTAGAAAACTCCACTTAGTAGCAAAAAAAATCGATGGTTTGGATTTTTCTTCGACCTCTCGGTCATCTAGTCATCCTCCCTTAATTAGTAAAACTATGATTTCATCTGTTGTCAGAAGAGTCATTTGGTATCCTGTGATACTGTTAACTCAAATTTCTTGCGGCTTGATGGAAACTTACTTTTATATTAATCATGTGATCACTCCTCCAATTATGATATTTTCCTTTATTGGCATGTCAATTCAAGGTATTTACACGTTATATATATATATATATATATATATCTTTTATTATTTGAATATTCTTTGATTATTAGTCTTATCTATTTCACCTTAGGATTCCTGAATGCTTTAGTATTTTCACAAGATATTGCAGTTACTCGTACTTTCCAGGCTATCAAACAAAAATGGTGGATCTTCATTGTTAACTCTTATGAGTCTAAATATCCTCATAAATCTTACAACAAAGCCATTTCAAATCATTTTATTGAATTGGAAACTATGAATTTCAATAATGCTGATATCATTAAAAGTGATATTATTAATGACGATATTATTGATAATAAAAATAATAACATTGATAATAGAGTTAATAATAGTATAGTTTCACAACCTTCTCTCTTAGAGTGGTTAAGATACATGCTATTAATTAAGCTTTTCTCTCCTCCAAAAATTACATCTCGAGTAATTTTATCTAATCATTTGTCATCAATTAATTCCGTTGTCAATGACAATTCAGATAATCAAAATACTGTTCAAGGTATTTAACCTATTCATTTAAAAGATCCTTATCAATATTCATCATCAACTCATTGTCAATTTCATCTGAACCATTAATAGATAGTTCTATTGAACTAACAAAAAGAATATCAAGAATATCCGAAGAATTTAATGAAATTGAAACAACTTTAAGAAGACTTTAAAAAGTTTTTCTATTAATTTCTTTCTATTAATTTCTTTCAATTTATTGTAAAAAGAAAAATTTTATTCATTTCATGCATTTGCTATTAATAATATTGTGCAGTATATTTCAGTACTTCATGTAATCGTAACGCTAGGGTCGGGTAAATTGAGTTCGTATAACATGATTAAATATATGACGTAATTTCCATATATTTACTATTAGAGTAATAGTTATGCCATTGTGAAAAGCAATTTTACCCTTCCCCCGATCTACAATATATCCAACCTAGTACAGCTTTAATTTTGTTTATTCTTACTATTTACATTATTTATTTATGGAATCGATTGATTCAACGGATATTTAACGGATAATAGGAAAAAGGATTCAAAAGTATAGTATTTACTTCAATGTATGTAATTGAAAAACTATAAACAACCAAGTCTTACCTTCAATAAAGTTAATATCGTCTCATAAAGTTATGATGTCTAATTTAATGATGCCTGACGAATGATGAAATCATTTCATAAGGCATTCATTAAGAGTCTCGTTATTTATCTTTCGCCAATTCGAAGTTGGCGAAATTCTTGACGAATGGTGAAAGCATGACAATTCATATTGTTAGCAGTGAAAAACATGATCCTGGAGGCACGTGGAAGGATGTGACCGATGTGGCGCAGCAGCAATACCAGGAACGCAACGTTGTGAAACGGAAAAGGTCGTCGGATCGGTCGCTCCAAAAATCGGGTACGTCGTATAACCACTCTGGGTTAATATCGGATCGAACAAAGGCGTGTTAGATTTGGCGAGTGGTTAACGAGATTCTAATCGGGTTTACTTAATGAAGGAGGGTTTCGGGTTGGTTATTAGGTGAGTGTACTGACGTAAGTTAGTGGTTACAAATTAGGGACAGTTTATGTATTAGCGAATGTATTATTTTATTTGTCAAGGGCGGGAAATTGTCTTTCGGCCAAAGGGCCTTTTCTGCCTTTATTTATAAGCAATTTATATGATTGATATCACCGATACGACCGATGCATCGTATCCTACTGATATCTCCCAAAATACCCTTCTAGCCGATCGCTACTATCTGTCACATTCGTCACATGCGTCATATGCGACTGATCGGTCGCATTTGACGAATGCGACAGATGCGATCGACCCTCTTTTCCGAATTTAGCGATGGACCCCAACCGGCAAGGGACCATTCAGGTCCCACATTTCTCTCCGTCTCAATGTCAAGTTCCACGAGACAAGGTCAAACCACCAGGATTGAAGATGCATAGTCCATACATTTGTAAGTATTAAAAGGCCTTACATTTATCCTTTCCAACTCCAATTTCATTTTTATTCTCTTTGATCTTTGCTATTTTGCAGCAAGTACAGTTAGATTCTTCAGACTCTTCATTCTTAATAGTTCCTTTGGCCATAGGTTCTATATCGGTAAGTTTTTGATGTTTCATCCTGATTTACTCATTATTCAATTCAGCTGGGTTTTCCTTTTTTGAATAATTTTCAAGCCTCTTCTTTGGCATTGGTAGGTTTCTTTTTTAGGTCATCTTGGATCAACTGTCCATCAGAATTATCCTCTTCAGCCTTTTCCAAATATCATTCAAGTTCTTTAGGATCATTCTTTTCAATCTCAGTTTCATTTTCATCTTCATCACAGATTATATCATCATCATTGTTATCATTATGATCATCATTATAGTTGTTGTTATCTAATATCATATCATCATTGTTAAAGTCAGGTTCATCATCCAATGCTTGTCAGTTATCCTTTTTAATTCTTGATTTATTTTGATAACAATATCTAGGATCATTGTTTTTATTAGCATAATTCATATCAACAAGTATTTGAAACTCTATATTGATTCTCTTTTTAACTTTAATTCTATCAGCATTTTTTTTAGTAAAGGCAGATTTATTTGGGCCTTTTATTTCAAAACTTCTGATCTTTCTTTTGAACTTTTCTATTTTTTTTTTTTATATTTCACAGACTTAGTTTATAATGTCTTTATTAACAGGTCTTTTAATTTTATTGTTTTCTGCTGATTTTTGGTAATGAACAAGTGTCTTAGATTTATCTGTTTTAGCAAATTTTTGTCTTTTGGATATACTAGATTCAAGTGATCAGGTTGTTTGAGTTTTCAAATCACTGTTGATCAATTTATCTTTGCCTTTTATTAGTTCACTAAATATGTGTTTGGCCTTTTTAATTTCATTTTATTGTTTATATTCTTTTCAATCTTGGTTTAATTATTGTTGTATCCTATATTATATCATTGTTATTATTATTATTGTTTTAAGCATCATTGTCATTATTATCATTATTATTATTGTTATCACTATTGTAGACATCATCATCCACATCAACAGGCATTTAAAGATCCACATCAATTTTCTTTTCAATTTCAATTTCATAGTAATATCCAAGATTATTTTGTTCATTCAGTGCAAATTTAGAACTAAAGGTTTTAAGATAATCATTGGTCAACTTTTCTAAAGTTATTTTAATATCTAATTTAACATCTTGCTCTCATTTTGGGTCTTCTCTTTTATTGTTATTACTGGATACTTCTAAGATAGAATGTGCTTTAAGAACTTCAGTTGGTTTTTTTGACAAGACTTAGCTAAACAAATTTTAGAAGTTCATTTTAGATTCTAGAGATTTGAAGGTTTTCTTAATGATATATATAGTAAGAATGATTATACAGAGCAGGCATCACAGATACTTTAATATATAAGATAGATATATAGCTTTCTTTGTTTTATCTTTATTATCTAGAAATATGTTTTCTAACATTTTCAATATAATTTCTAGAGCCTGGAAAATTTGTCTTGTATCAAGACTTTGATTGCTAAAGGTTTAGTTGATAATTTGTTAAAACTCTCAGGCTTGTTTGTCAATAAGTGTTTTTAATAGATCAGTACATTTTTCTTTTAATATTTTAACTTCTGGGTATTTATTAGTGGTATGTTTTCTGGTTTTACAATAGAAACACTAGGTTTCTTTTTGAAAACTTTTTCACATTTGTTCATAGCTGGAATTTGCTAAAGATAGATCTTTTTTATTCTATCTTTTAGTTTTCAGAATATTGAATAAGTTCTATATATTTTTTTTCTTTCTTTATTTAGTCTTTTTCTTTTAACTTTTTTTTTTATTCTAAAGGTTGGTCTGACATTCTGATGTATTGATTAGAGTCTTAAATATGCTTTGATTTGGGCATTAATTGTGATAAGTCATTCATTTATCTGTTTTAGTTATTAGTATAGTTCTTCCATATTATTAATATTTCTAAACTTATTTTCTTTCTATCTTCTCAATTACTACTTTATTCTAGATAATTAGACTAATCATATAATTACAACTATCACACTTCTTTAGATAATTGGGCATGAGTCATTATAGCTGATCCTAGTACTTTAGGATACCATAGCCAAATAGTGTAACAAAAATTTAAGATAGCAATGTTTTAGATCTTACAATTATTATCAAATTGTGAAATAGAGAAGGTCATCAAATTGGTTATTTTAAAAATTAGATACATTATATAACTACTTTAAGTTAATATTAGATTGAAAGAGGCATGTTAGATTTGGTAAATAGTTAATAGAATTTTAATTAGATTTGCTTAATGAAGAAGAGTTTTGGGTTGGTTATTAGGTAAGTATACTAATATAAGTTAGTAATTACAAGTTCATGACATTTTATGTATTAGTGAATATATTATTTTATTTGTTAAGGGCAAAACTTGTCCTTCTATTAAAGAGTTTTTTTGGTCTTTATTTATAATTATAAATACTTATTTACATTATACAATTTATACAATTAATATTTCTATACAACCAATACATCATATTCTACTGATATCTTCCAAAATACCCTTTTGGCTGATTGTTACTATCTGTTACATTCATTATATACATTATATGTAACTGATTGGTCATATACAATAAATGCAATAAATGTAATCAACCTCTTTTTCTGAATTTAGTAATGAATTTTAACCAGCCTGGATTTATTCAGATCTCACAATGTATAATGTAATATATAGTTTAGTTTCTGGTTAGTTATTAATTAAATATTTTTATATAATTTATAGTTAAAACAGATTTATTATAATAATAGCAATTACTGTTTTAATAAAAATACTTAGTTTCTGGTTGGTTATCAATTAAATGTCTTAATGTAATTTACAGTTAAGACAAATTTCATTATAGTAATAGCAATTACTATATTAATAAAGATATTTGGTTTCTTATATTACAAGCAATTTACTATAAGTGCAATGTATAACAAGGAAAGCTTATTTTTTTCAAAGGGTCTTTTGATCTTTATTTATAATTGTCTACTTCTATTTAAATTTTATAATGTATATAATCAATATTGCCTAAAAGACTCTTCTAACTAATTACTGTTATTCTTATATCTATTATATACAATTGATGTGACTAATAACTACTTCAATATCACTATAAAAATATTATCTATATAACTTAGTATAACATAATGTTGCTTTTATATACTTAAAATTTTCATTATATAATATATATTAATACAAAATTTTTGCTAACTAAAAATTCTAAATAAGCTTATAAAATAAACTATTATATAATTAATATAACATAATAGTTCATATATTTTTATATTATATAATATATTTTATATTTATACAACAAGATTTATTATACTATTACAATATTTTATAATATTATTATACTATTATTATGTTAATATATATATTTATTTATTATTATAATTGTACTAATTACTATAAATATTAATTTTTGTTATTTTATTTTGGATATACTAAAATAAAAATGCTTTAAAAATATATTTGATTTTTTTTCAAATAAGTATTATTAACTTGTAGTTTTTTTTTTTTTTTGAGTATCCCTATTGCTTATAACAACTAGGAGCGCAGGTGGCGCTCTTTATTAAAATATTATTATATTAAAATATTATGAATAGTCTAAATACATTTTAGATATTTACAGATTAGTTTGGCAGTTTTAGGTCTATGACCTAGTGTGTTGTGTTTTAAAA